TAATAGCTTCAGGAAGCACCTCTGAGAGTGGCATCCTCTGCTGCTGCAGGTGCAAATGAACTGAAGAAGGGCAGCTTGCTTAAACTGGAGAAAAGAATGTTGTGTGTAGTGTTTGGTTGCCCTTCATGCAACATTGATCATGTTCCATCACTGTCTCCAGTTGCAGCAGCATCTCCTCTCCTCGTGTAGCAAAGACACTCTGTGGAAACAATGTACATGTGTCTGTGTTGTGCCTGTGCTGTTCCAGTGCTCCTGTTGGCCACTGGGATACAGGGGTGCTCTCTGGTACCTGTACATCTCACTGGTTGCCCCTCTCTTTCCTTGAGCCTCCTAAACTATCAGCAGATGTCAGTGTTGATACTTCTTCTTATGCCTCCATGGGTGTGTCTCTGCTTCCTCACACAGTGTGTTTCATCCCGGTCCCTTGTGTATCCTGCACTTTTTGGTAGGTGTGATGCTGCTTCTGTTGAAGCACGGCAGGATGTGTCCTGACTGAGCTCCTCTGAGGGAGGGTGCATGCTTGGGGGCTGCTGGGTCTTGCCAAAGCCTCTTGTGTGAATGTGAGAACTTGACGCCCATAAACACCAGGCTAGTTGAGAGGTGGTGGTGGTGGTGGCTTTCTTGAACCAGGATTTGGAAAGTGAAGACTTTAAGCTACGTCATTTAATAATCCTTGGGATGCTGTCCTGCTTCCCAGGCTCGTAAGTGATGCTTTCCTTTCTGTCCCTCTTACTGCACCATGGCTGGGGTTTGGCAGGGCAAGGGCACCCTCGACATGGAGAGGTTACTGCTTTTTGTGAGCTCATAGCAAGGAAAAGGCTGATATGAGAGAAGGAGATAAGATGTTTGAGATAATAAAAGATTCTCGGGTGGAATTCTGGCCATAATGAAAAGAAACTTCAAGCAGTGTATTACAAACTGGATGGGAAGGGAATGCATGGGAAGAGCCACAAGAGGATATAAATGTGCCACTGCCTGAAGGTAGTGGAGAATGGACCTGTGACCATGAACACGGTCCTGTTGACTTTCATTGCTAATACACACTGGACCTGTCTTCCCTTGCGCTAGCCATGCTTGAATACTCACTTGAGATGAAATAATCAACGCAAGAAACTATTCTGAAATCATGTTAATCTTACTGTTTGCTGGCTATTAGGAAAGTCACCCAATAACTTGTTAAAGTGAGGCTGGATTTGTATGGAGAAGCAAGGTTCTATTGTCAGCAGATAGATCAGCATAGAGCAGCCCCAGTTCTGGTCAGGTCCTCCATGAATTCTCAGAGCTATTTGAGGCTAAGCATGAAAATAGCTGTGCTTATTGCACTGGGGCTGTGCACACACTTAAAGTTAAGCAAATATTCAAAGTGGTTTGTTGGCTGTAGCTCAAAAAAGAGTTGGGAATAATTAGACCCACTTGCAGAAGATGACACTTGCTGGTTTTTACTTTCCAAGTGTGGAATTTGGAAAGCTGTAAGAAGAACTGTCAGGAATGGCTGTTGAAAATGAAGTCAGAAGAGGTCATAAGAATATAAATTGCTTTTTTTTTCTCCTTTTAAAACATTTATAATAACATTTTTTCTTTGAAAAGAGCTTGTAGGCCAGGGTTGTGAATCACATGCATTGTGCACAATGGAGGCATTGTACGTGGTTTTGTCACTATTTAATCCTGAACTAAGAGAAGATATGAGAAACTGAGCTGTCAGAATTAACAGAAGCAGTAAAAAGAGCATAGGTCTATTTATAATTGGTTTGGTTTATGGTTTTCTTCCCTTTCTGAGAGTGTTAGGACCAACAGAACAGCTGCAGTGCTTTGAGGGACCATCACCTATGGTAATATCCAGTATTGATGACAAGAACCACAGTGTATGTAACACTAGATTGACATGTGCTCCTTGATGCAAAATATATTTGAGGCATCGCTTCATGCGGGTCGTGGGGGAAATAGAGCTAAAGGCAGTGATGGACAGACAGATTCTTGAGGCTGTGATGGAGAGGAGGTGTTGATGTTAGCTCTGAGGAGCTCAGGGGTAGACCTTGGAGCCAGGGGAGCAATGACCAGAACACACATGTTTGCATGGCTGCTAAAATTCATGAGTTTACAACAGGCAGGAAGAATGAACAGCACCAGGTTATAAGATGGCAAAGAGAAGAACAGCCAGTCCAGACAGAGCAGAAGAGGTGATGGGCTCCAGCCTTCCGTGGATCCAGGAAAGCTGGAGGATTGTTGGAGAGGAAGAGCAAGGCTGTGGGTGAATTAAAAATTGAAAGAGAAGACCAGAAATGGGCAGTGAGGCAGAACTGTTCAGAGGCTTGCTACTAAGGAGGAGGAATGGATGTTACAGGAGATGAACCAGAGATGTGCTGTTGCCTCAAGCAAAATATATCACATTGACATGGACTTGAAAAGAAGTGGGAAAGAGTTCATGGATTCCTTCTTGCACTGGAGCAAATGCCATAGCTGTGTTCATGCTGGCACGGGTAAAGCATGATAATAGGGGTCTGGGGAGGAGCTCAGAAGAGACCCTTGGGTGATTATATGGACAAATATTTACTCCTCTCCATCAGGCTGAGTAAGAATTAGGAGATAATAGTACCATTTCTTGACACATCTGTGTGTTGATGTTGTTATGGAGGTGTCTTTGGGTGCTTTGCTGCAGCTCTGCTGGGCGATCAAAATGTTACATTTCTTTTTTATGACTAAGGAGATAAGGCTGCAGGGTTGATGCAGGTGGGTTTTAGTCATGTTCAAGTCAAGTCTGGTCTCCAAGTCTTGTACTATTTCAAACCTGGAAAATAAGAAAACTTGTTCAACAGGTTCACTGGAGAGAGGACCCCAGGGATTTGAGTGTGGCTTAAGACTGGAATAGTTTTAAGTACTCTTGTTGCCTGAAACTTCTTTTTTCTAAGCAAGAAGAAAATCTTTTGAGTAGATGACATCTGAAATGGTTTATTAAGAACAAATACAAAGAAAAATGTCACTTACAGGGGAGAACTATGACTCAGAATGTGGTTTTGATCTCCAGAAAAGGTGAGAATAGGCAAACACCTGTTTAATTTGGCAGATTTCTATGTGCAGAAAATCTAAAACCAGTGCAAAGAAGAATATAACCACAGGGTGTGAAGAGGGGAGAGGTGTAGTGAAGAGGGGGGATAATCCTACAGATGGTCCACATGTTGAGTGAGAGCCCTCGCACTTCCAGTGGAAAGCATGTATTCTATTAACAGTTTGGGATAGTAAAAATGGAGATTGGGAACTAAGATGATAATATCCAAGGGGAAAGCAAAATTTACATGTCTTGGTGTGCAGTGTCTGGGACCTGGATATTTACCCAGGAGTGGAAAGGGGTCTGAGGCAGTTTGAGTGTTTGTCTTCTTTTAACAAATGAAACTCAATCAGATGGTGACTGGCTGAGAGGAAAGGTGTTATTTTAATGATTGAACCTCTTCACCTGCTTTCAGGATAGGAAAGCTAAATTACAGAGCCAAAAACTGGGGTAAAATGCTGGAAGTAGGGGAGAGAGAAACCAGATGATGTTATACAACCATTTGGGGAACCTAAGAGGGATTTGTCGCTCTGTGAATGTATGTACCAAGAAGCCATGAGGTTTTTTTTCCCCCTTCTATCTGAAGGAGGCCTTAAGGAGTGGTGGAGAGGGACTCTTCATCAGGGACTGTAGGGATAGGACAAGGGGTGATGGGTTCAAACTGAAACAGGGGAAGTTCAGGTTAGATTCAAGGCAGAAGCTCTTCCCCGTGAGGGTGCTGAGGCGCTGGCACAGGGTGCCCAGAGAAGCTGTGGCTGCCCCATCCCTGGCAGTGTTCAAGGCCACGTTGGACACAGGGGCTTGGAGCAACTTGCTCTAGTGGAAGGTGTCCCTACCCGTGGCAGGTATTGGAGCTGGATGAGCTTTAAGGTCCCTTCCACCCAAACCAGGCTGTGACTCCATGATACTATGATTTTTTTAGTTAGTTAAAAATGCATAATGAAAATGTTTGTTGTTATTAAACATACCAAAACATTCTTGGCATTGGAAGAGAAGCACAGGCAAGGCCTTGCAAAATGGAGTTACTTTAAATGTGCTTGTGTGGTTTTTCCTGCACAGGAGTTGGTGTTGATGGAACTCCCCTGCAGTAGCTGAGTAGCAGGGTGAGCTCAGCTGTCTGGGCTGGTGACAAGTGTTGAAGATCAACATGTTCTGGCTGTCTGAATGGTTTGTGCACATGTGGTGTTGTAACAATGTGGAAGACCCTTGTTGGAAGTGGGGTCATGGAGCTGTGTGTTTTAAATTCGTTCTCTTGTACAGTGGACAGAAGGATGTGCCAGTGCACCAGGCACAGCTCAGCCGTCGGCCAGGGGATCATGTACACAATGCATTACCTCTGTGCATGTCTGAGCCCCCTGTTCTGTAACGAAAGCATTGCTGGTGCTGGGATTTGATAGAACCCCAGCCTGGTTTGTGTTGGAAGGGAGCTTAAAGCTCATCCAGATCCAACCCCCCGCCACCGGCACTGACACCTTCCACTAGAGCAGGTTGCTCCAAGCCCCTGTGTCCAACCTGGCCTTCAACACTGCCAGGGATGGGGCAGCCACAGCTTCTCTGGGTACCCTGTGCCAGCGCCTCAGCACCCTCCCAGGGAAGAGCTTCTGCCTCAGAGCTCATCTCAGTCTCCCCTCTGGCAAGTTAAAGCCATTCCCCTTGTCCTGTCCCTACAGCTTTCTCTTGTAATACTGCCTGTGTGGTCCTGTGGGTTCTATTTCTGTGGTAAACCAGAACTCTCCAGCAGCAAAGCAGAGATTCTAATACTTGCTGCAGGTGGATGTGCCTCAGGAAGCTCCCTCTGCAGCCCCCTTGGAGGAAAACAGCATTTGGTTTTGAATGTGTGTGAGCAACAAGTGTGACAGTCTGGACCTTGGGAACTGTTCAGTTTCTTCATCCTGACATTTGATTCTTGCAGCGTGTTGTGAATTCTCTTTAATGTTTTGCCTATGTACTCTTTCAGGTAGAGGCATTAACCAATCAACCCAGAGCCACCACAGTACACGCCGTCAGAGATTCCGAACTTGCCAAACTCCCCGAGGGAGCACTGGTATCTATCAAGCGCAAATTCCCCCAGGTAAGGAAATGAAAACTCTGTTCTGTCTGAGGAGCTAAAGCTCTTCATTAGCAGCAAGTCCTTTGAGGTTTTTATATGTTGATCCATACTGAGAAACATCTTGTTTTCTTTGTCTGCCTGATCTGATCTATACCAGACTTTCACCAGGTTCTCTTCCTGCTAATCACTTTTAGCATGCTTTCTTGCAGGGCTGTTTTGTGTGTCTGGCAGGAGCTCATGTCAATGCAGGCCATGCTTATTTAGCAAAGTGGAAATCACTTAGTGCGATTGATACTAAATGGAGTTTGACTTCTAAAATCACTTCCAAATGTTGCTACTCATTTGTCTTGCTCACCAGGACTTGGAGCCAGCACTTGGTTACACGTACCTTTATTCCCAGAGCATTGATATTTGGGGGTTGGATTTCCTTTTCCTTAAATTTTAGGCTGTCAGTCCTCATTCTGCAACTGCTAGATCTGTCTGTGTCCTGAAGACTGGGATTGCTCCCTGTGAATCCATCAACTCATCTGTCTCCTGTAATTCACTTGACATTATACCTCCCTCCTGCACAACTGGAGTCTGACAGACCTGAAATGTAATTGTTTTGTCCCTGAGTGCATCAGGGACATTATACTAAGCACTAAATCATTGTACTAGCCTTAAAAGCAGTTCTTTAATGCTGTTACTTCAAATGATTTCTAATTTTTCTTTTTGCTGTCTTTAAGGCATATACTTACTTTACCATGTCTTAAAAAGACCTGCAAAAGTAATAAACCTAGTTAAAATCCTTGCATAAATCCTTGCATCCTGCTGCTTTCCTAGGACACAGTAACTTTTTAATTATTATTTTTTAACTGTATAACAAAGCCTACATTCATGCACTCTCCTGTTACAAAACCTGTGGGGTTTTGTCTCTATTATTGCAGTAGGTGCTCAGAAGTTATGGCAGTGAAAAATAATCTTCCTGGTTTCTCTGTAGAATTATTTTGGCTGAAGTGTTTCTAAACTTGTGCTGTGGGTTGTTAAGGCACTCGTGTGCTCTGGGTCTCTCTTGAATAGCCCTCTGAGCCTCTTCTTCTCTATTTAATGTAACAGATTTCCTGCCCAGATCTATGACCTGGTAGAAGTGTTCAACTTGTGGACATAAAAGGAAGAAATTCTGTGCTATAAGGGTGCTGAGGCACTGGCCCAGGGTGCCCAGAGAAGCTGTGGCTGCCCCATCCCTAGCAGTGTTCAAGGCCAGGTTGGACACAGGGGCTTGGAGCAACCTGCTCTAGTGGAAGGTGTCCCTGCTTGTGGCAGGGGTTGGAACTGGATGAGCTTTAAGGACCCTTCCAACCCAAACCAGTCTGGGATTCTGTGATTCCATAATTAAGATGATCAGAAGATGCTTTGAGAGCTGGAGCACCTCCTGTGCTATGGAGACAGGCTGAGTGAGAGAGGCTGGAAAATATACTGGATATATCTAAATTTTTATATATACACATGCACATATATAACATATACTGATACTAGAAAAGCTTCAGTCCCAGCCTGTGGCAGCACATGTGAAGGAAGAGGCAGACCATGTGCGGAGTCTAGAGCACACAAAGGCGGCTGGTTGGTGTTTAGAAATAGTCACCTATAAAGGCAAAGAGACCATGGAAGGTTAAGGAAGACATAGCAGCTATTTTCAAATGGATAAATTTGTCTCCCGATAGAAGAGAACAAGCTACTCACCATACTGGATAGAGCAAATGGTGGGGTACTGAAATTGCAGCAGCTGGGAATTGAGGAAAAGCTGATTCTGCTCCCTAGAAGGGCTGAAATATTGCTACTTGATTTTATAACCTCTTAAAAAGCTATGCCTGAGGTAGTGCTTAGTGCTGAGCAGGGTGATGTGCCAAGTGAATTCTGTCTGTCTGATTTTCTCTCCTGTTATTCTAGTGGAATGATTTACACACAGGATTTATGATGTTGTTTCCCTCATCCCTCCAAAAGTACTGCAGCAATGAAGGGATAGCTGGTGCCAGGAGTTTGAAACAACTGACAAGGTAGCATGAGCTTGCTTGTGATTCAGCAGTGGGGTGGAAGGTTTTCCTCTCAGTCCTCCGCACATCAGAAAAGCATCTTTCATAGAATCCCAGCCTGGTTTGGGTTGGAAGGGACCTTAAAGCTCATCCAGTCCCAACCCCCTGCCACAGGCAGGGACACCTTCCACTAGAGCAGGTTGCTCCAAGCTCAGAGATAAAACCAAGCAACTCTCCTGCTGATTGGGAAGGTAAAGTTAACCCAAGTCTCACTTGGTGGCATGGTGATCAAACATTGGTGCTTCTCCCCGGAGACAGGTGGAATACTCTCTTAATGCAGAGGAATTCCACACCAAGGAGAATGGCTTTTGGGTTGGTGTTCCTCTTGGCAGCTTCCATAGACCTTGAGTAGTCTGTGCGTTAATAGCCAAGCACCAGCCTGTTCCTGTGATTGAACTGCCTTTCCCATTAGTTACTCTTGAGTTTTACTATCTCCTGTCAAGGGTGAAGAGCTCTTTAATTCTAGGAGTTAGTGGAGGGACTTCGTCCTGCATACTGCTCACCAGTCTATAGATATTCCAGAAAGGGTTCAACTCTGGAATGCATTGTAAGAAAATATTACCTGATGGGTAAGGAAACCGTAAAGGAGGTGGTGCTTGTCAATGGCAGCAGTGAGAGATGAAGGTAATCATGCCTCAGAAGTTCAGGTTGCTTGAGCTGTGATTACACACAATGGATCCTTGGGGAAGCACCAGCTGCTTGCTCTTGGTTTTGTCTTCTCCCCTGGGCACCAGCTTTGGTTGTGTCAGAGGCAGGAGGCTTGTCTGCTGGGGTCTCTGCTGTGACCCACAATAGCCCCTGTTATTCTGAGGGATGAAATTGGTGGGTGAGCATGGGGAATCTAATCTCAGTTATAAATAACAGCCAACATTTCAGAGCACATGCCCAGAAATGACAAATGTTGGTGTCTAGATCCTGCTCAGTCTGCAGAAGTCACATCTACATCTCCTACCTTGTCAGGAAAGCATCCCAACCTTGATACACTCTGGCTATTATAGAGTCACAGACTGGTTTCGGTTGGAAGGGACATTAAAGCTCCTCCAGTTCCAACCCCTGCCACGGGCAGGGACACCTTCCACTAGAGCAGGTTGCTCCAAGCCCCTGTGTCCAACCTGGCCTTGAACACTGCCAGGGATGGGGCAGCCACAGCTTCTCTGGGCACCCTGTGCCAGCGCCTCATCACCCTCCCAGGGAAGAGCTTCTGCCTCAGAGCTCATCTCCATCTCCCCTCTGGCAGGTTGAAGCCATTCCCCTTGTCCTGTCCCTACAGGCCCTTGTGCAAAGCCCCTCTCCAGGTTTCCTGCAGCCCCTTTAGGCACTGGAGCTGCTCTAAGGTCTCCCTTCAGGAGCCTTCTCTTCTCCAGGCTGAACAAGCCCATGTCTCTCTGCCTCTCTTCATATGGCATCCCAGACATTCCTAATTGAAAGTGGTTCACAATGCAAAACTTCCTTGTTTTCTCCAGGCTCAGCTCCTGCCTGAGGGCCCAGCTCTCCAGTGTAGCTGTCAAGGCATGCAGCCAGTGAGAGCATTTGCTCCTCTGACAGCCTGTGTGCTTGCTTCTGGTGCTGCTTGAAGCTTTTCAGCATTGCAGGAGTGAAAGGGAATTGATTCTTTCTATTTTCATCACTGCCTTCAGTTCTAGAAAGTAGGACAGAGAATCAGCTCATGATTTTTGGCACCACAAAGCAGCTTCGAAGCAGTAGTGAGAGCACAGCATTTGTGAACAGATTATAGAGATGTTCTAATAGCAGCATATAACTTGGATCACATTTCCTAGATTAGCTTTGCCTCTTCCAGGCTGAGATTGTTTTTATCGTTCGAACTTGAAACCTGCTGTAGCTGGTGGAAAATGCACTGAGAAATTGCTTAGGAGCTGGGGGGGAGTGTGTAACTGTAAGGCCACCTTCTGCATGCTAGAAAATACACAGGTTTTCTGCATCTTTCTTTTAATTCCCTAAGCCTGCCCTTGGGGTTTAAATACACACAGAACCCAGCATCCATCATGGGCAGTGAGTCCTGCTAACTTCGTGTGCTTTCCTGAGGTTGATGATGCCTTCCCTGGGGTTATCTGCCTCTCAGAGCATGCTCTGTAGTGTGCCCTCTATTCAAACACTTCCGTCGGCGTTGCGTGTACTGTGCATCACATTATTTCAGCTTGATGTAGCACTTGAACAGGTCAGGAGAGGCCACACTTCTAGATTTTTCTGTATTTGTTCTCATGGTCCATTCAAATAAGTTTTTTCTTGACTGTAGGAGAAGTGGATGTGAAAAGGAGAGAAGAAAAATGTTCAGTGGGAGCATGGTCACTGGCTGCAGCTGCCTGACACGAGGCAGGCAGGAGCGAGGGCTGAATCACAGCAGTGATGTGAGAATGCCGTTTTTCTTCAAGACACAATTGATCACAAGTGTTAGAAGCTCAAAGAGCCCCAGGATAAAGCTTCAGTTCTCCTGTGTGCTGTAGCAGCATTTGTAAAGGTGACAGAAATGGTTCAAGGCTCACTCAGCCTTGAAGATTTGCTTTGTCACGGCAGTTCTCCAACTGTTGGAAGTTTTCATGGGAGACCCCTTGCTAAGCTCCTGATTATGTGACAAGCAGAGTGTTTAGCAGAGCTGAGGCCATGGAAAGCTTCAGCAGTGCCCTGGTTTTATTCAAGTTGAGGGTCTAATTTACCTCTCCTCCTCCCTTATCCCTCAAGGGAAAAAAAGCTTAAGTAAGCTGGTAGAGAATAATCTCAGCTCCTGGCAAGAGCTCTGCAGAAATGAACCTGCTATTATGTAACTCTGTATAGGTGAAATGTTCTTATTACTATTTCACCCCAATTGTATTTACTTTGTAGAACAGAAAGCCCTTGGTGGCCCTGTTTTCCTTGCTGGCTTATTCACACTGGGTTTCTGTGTGGCAGAAAGCCCTTTTACATGTCCTTTAACAAAATCACATCTGTTAAGGTCTA